TTTGTATTTCATTATCTCCCTTTCTCTGCTTCATAACAGCGGTCGTTATAGAGCCGTAACTCAGGAGGGATTTACATTATGAATACTCATATAAACTAGAGGTCACACATCAAATGAATTTAACATGAAATGCGAAATGACTAGTAAATCCTCAGAGCACGGATTGCTCCAACATCACATGCATTCATTCAAAAAAAGTATTTGACGAGAGTAGTGATGTTTCTGTTGCATATTTTTGTCAAAATGTTATTCTACCCTTCAGCTCTTCTGATCTCATGTTCAAGTCGTTCTCCTCTATCCTATTCCCACACTCCAAAATTCCGAACTTTTCTGTTCCGCTCTTTAAATCCTGTTTTGTTGCGTGCATCTTTCTTTTACAACCGTTCTGTTCTGTTCTGTTCCTGTGAACAGAACAGGAGTAAACAGCTTGACTGAAAGAGAAACAGCACCGTGAGGAGAGCATTTATTTCGAAAACGAGTTGGTTTAAACCTCGAAACCGTCTAACATCGAATTTCCAACGTGGTCATTCACCGGCGGGGTTCCACTCCGGCCAATTTATTTCGCGACTTTTTCGTCTGCCCCCTCCCCCTTCGAAGATGTGTTCCTCGACGGGTCTCTTCCCCCATTCGGACAAAACGTTGCTCCTCAACAAACACTGCTGGCAAATGTGCGGAAAGCAATTCCGCTACTGTTAATACTTTGCACTTCGTTATAAGAATGTTAGATTGCTGTATGTGTCCGTTCACGGATACGTCCATTTCAAACTTTGAATATTTGATCGACGAGCAGTGAGTTAATGATCAATGTATACGCATCTTATCAGTTTTGTACACATAGCAATGTGAAAAGGAATTTGGTTCGAGCTATACGTGATCAGATTCAAATAATGCTCAAGGAGTGCCGAACAAAAAACAATCACAAAACCATAACCCATTAAAAACTTATGAAGTGGTCTTTCATCTAAAGAAATCTATGAACGAATCATTGATAGTTCGAAATTATTCGAACTATCAATAAACGAATGATGTCGATTTTTCGAATTATCGACGTAAAAGTATTTCTTGTGTTCTGGAAGTGGTTTTCGATCAGTTTTGTATTCCCATATTTCGGCAATTCAATAAATACTCCCGGTATGCATGTGGATACATCCAAAAGTGCCTCGAACAATTTGAATTTCCAGTTCAAATGTGTTTCTAACAGCATATGTCTCACGAATGTGATATAAATAACTGTAATCACTTATCTATTGCTAGATGTTTTTATTGTGACTTATATATCTGATTCAATTATTCCATTGTAAATAGACCTATTTATTATGATCAGGTATCAAGTATGTGATGAAATTCAAATCAAATGTTATTGTCAAATCTTGTATCTCATTTCCGCAAATATACCAAAAAGCTGTGCGGAGGAAAACAAAGGACCACGTTTGCTTGAATAAGCTGTAGGTGAAACCTGGCACTGATTTCTTTCTGACGTCAACCATGACGAAAAGCTTACTATACTAGGCGGACTCGAATCCCAGCCTCTCATACTTGGGCCCAATTCATCACCCAGTAAGCCATGGCACTCTTAATTGGTATTCTATTAACTTGTAGATCACTGTCGTTTGTAGATTTTAGATCACTGTCCTGTAATATGACCCCTCTTGCCATCCTCTCGATGACCATTTACTTGAGATTCAGTGACAATGCTTTTATCTGATTGCGACGATCCAAAATTGATGCTTCTTTCCTTTCGAATTCGCTTAATCGTTTCATACCACTTTGAACCTGAACTTCATGTGGATTGACAAAAAGTTTCTAGATTCACCATCTGATGAGTGATTGAAGTCAATCGCGTGACACGCTGATGAGTCATTGTCTGGAATGGCGAGAACACCATCAGAACACGGCCCACCGACGATTGCGTTTCATCTTCACCTCCTCGAATTCTTCCACCTCCAACTCATCACCCTTTGCATGCCATGTTGTGATATCTGCTAACCTCTGTACCGACTTCTCTTCTCTGGTAACAGAAACAATATCACCGCAACAAAGCTGCCACGATAGATAGAGGAAAATACTCCACGACAGCACAAAACCACACAATAATGTTTCTTGGCCTAATATAGCATTGAATGATCCATTTCTCGGTATCAGTATCACTCATTTTACAATCATTTGACCCTGAATCGAGATTATGAACGGTCCTTGAATCATGATAACTAAACGATCCTGAATCAAGATGATTCAGTGATCCTTATGAACAAGTGATAATTTATTAACCATAATTTCTCTTCAACCTTAACCATGGAAAAGAACTCCTTTTGCAGGGCGGACCTAATCCCTAGCTTCCCATACTTCAGCCCAGCGCACCATCATTTATAATATTAACTTCATCCACTTATATCTCACTTTCACTTTGTATTTCCACGAAACTTTTTTCATTACGTGATCAGCTAGAGGAGTTCTGCAAGATGAAATATAACTCGTCTGGGAAGATCGAAGTAATCTCCACTTGCTAGATGAATTAATTCATAGTTTTGAGTGAAAATAATCAGTGGTAATTTATTTTCTGACACGTTTTGTGCGCAATTTGTAACGCAGCTGAAATGAACAGACATATTCTGAATCAGTGAGTGATTGAGAATGGGGTAGATAAAATTCAACCATCAAAGATAACAGTTATCATAGAGTCGAAAATAAAACAATGGCTGAGTGAAAGCATCGCACATAACTAAGTGATTATCATGTAAGAATAAAATGAGCATTTAATTATGTCAACAGAGTGAGTGCACTGAAGTGTTTGAAAAAAAAAAGTAGCGAATATGAGTTTTTTGGTGGCATAACTTAAGGAGTTGCACTGATTTCTTAATACTCATATAGGCAAAGAAATACCAAGAAGATGTATAAAAACGCTTCCAGCAGGAAAAGACAATAGTATAAGGTTGTTCTATCATCTGCTTAAAAGTGGCAAATAGCCTCAAATATAAATGAAGCTTTCCATCATCATTGATGAAAAATGAAGTTTACTCTAATGACTCTCTTAAGCAAGGCACTATTATGTTTATAACTTCTCCATCGCTCAAATGATAGCAAAATTAATGCGAAATGCATATTTCTTACCCATCTTGGTGTTACATAATGCGCGAATTACTTCAAAAACAATCCAGCAAACGTATAATAAATAAGTGAAATGAAACAGAAAAACCACCGTCTGATTCCGATGATAAATTATTCTCGCCAAAATAATTTTGATCTGGTGATAATCATGGGTGGTCTCAACAGCAGTGTGTGGATCCCCACCGAAATCGCTAAAGTTAGAAATCCATAGGAACGATGTGGCTTACAAACCAACATTTTAACGCTGATCTAGAGAGTATCAGTTTGAGATTTCTAAAATTGTTGAGGTAAAAATTTAACAACTAAAATTTTACGTTAGCTATCCATAATGATCATATCAAAATATATCAAAAAGCTTGTCCTATTCGAGGTTCAAGGACAACTAGGTGCTTGACAGTTGGGTCAACTGAATATGAACACACTGATAGTCCATCATCAATAAATCATTTATCCAAATAACAATAAAAAGAGAGGCCGAATAACGGATCCATTCAGCCAATTAAGAGATTCTCAAAGCGAAAATGTGAAAGAAGTTTTACTATCTTCAAATCCCAATTACGAACGATTCAAAATGGTGTGGAACGATCATGAAATTGTGAAATAAACGCAATAAAAAGGAACGTAATAATGGCAATAATAATCATCATCAAACGTCTGCTTGTTGATAAGTTGATGTCGCAACATTACAACACAATCTTATCCGCTATATCAAGCGTCCTAATTAATGTTGCTGTTCATTCAGTGAGAAATACTTTTGCATTCATTCTCGATAACAAAGAAAGGTTGATAAGTAAGAATCGATTGAGCGAATGAATAAGGCTTGTCAAAACAGAGTGCTCAAAAAAAAAGAGAGCAAGCATTCATTCTTCAATCGATTCGAAGAAATCATATCGTCACCAATTTCAATTGCCTTTATACGTGGTATATAAATTCATGAAAATTCTGAGAAGTGAAACTTTGCATGATGAAATACTGCTTACAAAAAACCTTCTTATGGTCTGTCTAAGCAGTCAGTTTTGCATGGAAGGGCGTAAAATGGTCTGATTGAAAAATGGCTGAATTTTGGAGTAGATCTCTCTACGCTTACTTCTTCCTTCTCCATCCTCTCCTTTCTTCTTCTTCCAACTTCCTTCTCCTCTTCCCCTTTTCTCCCTCCTCTTTCTCTCTTCTTATTCCTTTTACTTCTGCTCTCCAAAAGAGGTGGGGATGCGCCCCTTATGCCCACCTCCACCTTTATCCACATCATAGGGCTTATGCTTAGGCTAAAATTTGGGGTTAATGTTTTTCAGCTATCGCGTACTGAGATCGTTACAAAAATGATCCTCTAAGTCAGTGTTTCTCAATTTGGAAAATATCACCCATCGACATGTAAAAGAGGCGATTTTGGTGAAGAAGAATATACTTCCTGAAATCAGCGGGATTTTTTCCTCTGTTTTGAAAACGGCTATTTTATATTGCAGCCTTTGCAATCAATAAAAACAGCAATATTAAATGATTAAAGAGTAATTCGGCTGTGATTTTGCATCAAGTAAGCAGTTTGATGAAAAAAAGAAAGCAAATCACAACTCCAAAGCAAAGAAATACAGTTGAGAAAGACAAGAAACGAGATATCAACTCACGCTTTATGATTTTTAACAACAAACCGGCTTTCTAATTTGTCATTCAGACCCTATTTTACAACGTGCGATAATTTTCGAAGACAACCAATAATTGAATCGGTCAGACGAAATGGAATCGTTGCAAAGGTTGATAATAGTTTCTTCGAGATCACACCACTTGACTTAATCACGAGCACGTATGCAAAAATTCCACAGAGGGCTCAATAATTTGTGGAAAACCCGTGTGAACGACCTAAATGTTGTTAGGAGGCCTGCAGCCCAATATCTGATGTAATTAAGCGTTCGACCCACTTCCAAACGAACAGCCGCAAAAGATGAACGCAAGACTGATACATATCCACAACGACGCTGAATTCCTAATATGTTTCAAATTCATTCTGATGATTCAATACCGCAAGAAAGTTTATCGATATAGGGGAAATGAATATATTAATCAAACTGTTTTTTCACATAGAGAAGGGAAGTGCACCTTCCATAAAGAAGTCACCATCTGAGCTAAACAATAGTTCAGAGTCGTCCCAAGAGTTGGATTTTCCGAATGCACAGAGAACAATCGTAAAAAGTTCTTAAATGTTCCTAAAGAAGTAGGATGAGGAATTGAATTATCTCAAATATCCGTTCATCTCGTATTTTTACTTTTTTTCGATTATTTAAATTATTTCTCGGCATCTTCTTTTTTCATTAAATCGGGCTATTTTCCACAGATGCTGCATATTCACGTGGAATTTGTTCTGTATTAATCAATGAATATCATATTTGACATGATTGTATTAATTCATGGATGTGATGAGTAGAATAAGCACTCGTCAATATGTGCGCTGTGAACGTTAAGTTATTAGACATTGATATTTATGGACATCCAAACTCAATATTTATATGTACTTTTGTAGTCATCACATTGAAAGGTGGGGATACTTAATAAGAGGTAATTTTTGATGAACCGAGTTTCATAATGAAACAAGTGAAACTCAATTCAGTTAATATAAATAATACTGCAAAACATTCGAGTTGGCTGAACTGACAAGTTAGTTACTGCTAAATAATCTGAATGCACGAACAATCGAATACGCTCAATAATTAAGTTGCTCAATCACCCGAATTTCACAAAAAAAAATTGAACCTTTGATTAGCAACAACAACATCCATATTTCAAAAAAACCTTCTGAGACTCAAACAAAAACAGAAGCATTTCTTCCATTTTTTTTCTATTGCTGAACTTGGAAGCTTAAAGAATTATTCCATGTTATTGAAATATATTACATAAGCGGTAAACGCATCAAATTGCCTTCGAGAAGGTATCGATAGATATGAATGTGTTTCTGTAACAACTACCACTTATTGATAATTACTCATGTCACTTAATCACCAATTTTTGTAATAGATGAAGAAATTTCCAACTGATTGTAAGAATTCTACCCAACAGTCATTCGATCATTTGACAGTTGACCCTCCTCGATCAACCCAGTTGATTCAGTCCCTCCGTTAGAAACAATATGTTCCTCAAAACGCTTTCTGCAATATGAAAACGCTTTCTGCCTATCTTCTCCTTACACGACACTCAATGCATATTTCTTTCCTGTCTGAATATCATCAGCAATTGATTGGGTTTTTGCATCTCTCGGCGTTCATCAGTGTGTCTTCGTAGCCGCGGAAATGACGTCGCCCGGTGTGGTGTGGGGATCGGCGAATTTCGGGGACCCCGTCCCCGGATCCTCGTCTTCGACAATTTTTGAGCCAACCGCATTTTCGGAGTCCCCAACTGCAAAATTTCGTCTCCAATTTCCCCGTCTCCGGCTTTTTTCCGCTCCCGCGCCACATTACCTTAGCTGCAAAAGTGTTTTTATGTACCATCAGCAGATTTTTCATGAATCGACACTTTTCCAGTTGAGGAACTGAAAATAGGTATCCGTATATGAAACATCAAAGTATCCTTATGCTGAAACCCTTTTAGTTCAGTGCTTTTCCGTTTCCACATACTCTTTTGACAGTATTGCGATTTCAACACTTTTGCGTTATTAAACTGAAACATGCTAACATTGTCTCCACTACATTTCATGAGACTGAAAGGCGACTGAAATAGTATTAAATAAGGGGACCATCGAACAAAAAACTGTCAGTTGCTTCAATTAGTGTTTCCAGAGTTCTCGATATGTACCGCACCGTTCGGGTATGTTTGCGAAAAGTCATCTATCCCAGGTGCAAATCGAGATGCAGAACAGTTTGATGAGTTACTGTGAACTATGAAACAAGAATGCACACGGAAACGTGAGCATTGTGGCCAGCAACGTTATAAACGTTTGATAATCTGGCCAATCCAGAGGATTCTCGCCTAGCCAGCGGGGTGGCGTCAATCAAGGCTAAAACAGTGCAAATGAAACGCGAGCATTGTGGCCAGCAACGTTATAAACGTTTGATAGCCTGACCAATCCAGGTAATTACGCGATCATTGTGGCCAGCAACGTTATAAACGTTTGATAGCCTGGCCGATCCAGATAATCCAGATCCAGATAATGAAACAAGAGTAAAGTATCTCGGAACAGTTATAATTTATGGTCAAACATGATGACTGTTAACAATTGTGTATTGCTTATGGTTTTTGCTGGTCGTTATGCTGTACTGTTGTTGTACTCAATTGACAATTTGGACTTGTGCTAGCGTCTGGGGGCTCATAAAAGGAAAGATAATAATTGCAATTAAAATGAGATTCTAATTTGGTTCAAATGAATATTCCAATCACTTCGATTCCATGAAACCTCTCCTAGAATTGCGTATCATTTAAACTTGTATATTAGAGCCAATTAATTTGAGTATACGGTAATGCGATCGTCCATAGTGCTTCCGCTGCTATATTGCGCACTATGAACGAACGACTTTTTTCAGACTAATGATTTAACGCACAATTGATATGCAATCTCTTTATGTGCGGAGTGATAGAAGTGTTCGATGAAGAGGAAATTGTTTCTTGCTGAATGTAATCTTTGCATATTTTCAGGGCATGATTTTCTGAGCATTTGTTTCCTTTTTATCGAGAAATAGACTTTATTACCTTACTTTTCGGTTGTAATGTATTTCAAGGCACTTGCAAATCGTGACATAGCATCACATTGATAATTGAGGTACGTACGTCTTATATATTATGTGTCACTGAAATATAATTTATATATTGATCATCGTTATGATATTTCTTCCAGCGACATTCTCTCCACTATCGTTGGTCGCGAAGTTTTTACTGAATCCTTGAAATTAATAAACTAAAAGAAATTCTAACTTAGATTGCTGGTGCACATTTTCGACGCTGTGTAATGAAGAAGGCCGATCGAATGCGTGAGGTTTGTACATCCTGTCATCTTTGACATCAAAACTCAAAATTCAGTTTTGAAAGCATGCTCCTCTTAGCTGGCCTGGTGCGTTAATGGACTAATGTGATAAAGTTCTAACGCAATAAGGTCATTTGTTATGAATACAGTGTGCTTTTAGGTTGAAGATCCCGATAACGTGGTATTGGAAAAGTGCAAAAAGTTGGCATCATACCTTCGCAACTCGAAATGCACGCTAGTGTATACGGGTGCTGGAATAAGCACGGTTTCTTTTATGTTGTAGTCATCTTGATTTCTCCTGTTTTTGTGTTCTTCGGACAGTTTTGTGATATCATTCTGCTTATGATGTTCAATGAACTACATTTCAGTTTCATTTCAGTAGACATCTTTCTAAAAAATATTTCAGGCGGCATCCATTCCAGATTATCGTGGACCAAACGGTGTTTGGACGTTAGCTGAAAAAGGCATCGCACATTCAAAGTGAACTATAGATTTATATTTGATCGTTGATATAGCACTTGATAAAACACAGTTACTTATTTCTGCCAACAGATAAATATGCAACCTTGTTTTAGCCTCTCTCTTAATTTCATACATAATTTTGATGATATCGGTTAGAACTGTTCAATATTCACGAAATTGCTAACTTGTTGAAAGAGTTTACATTGAAGATGCGGTGATCCAATAGAGTGTTGCCCAACAACAAGTCATATGGTGCTGAAAGAATTTTGTCGTCGTGGCATAATCCGACATATTCTATCGCAGAATTGTGACGGATTGCATCTACGCTCGGGTTTGCCGCAAAAGATGCTCTCTGAAATTCATGGCAATATGCATATCGAAGTGTGCACACATTGCGATCCACCACGTCAGTTCATACGTCCGTTTGACGTCACTCAAAAGAGCCAGTTCAGGTACTTGAACGCTTCATGATATATACTCAAGAATAATGCGTTGCTTGGTGATTTTTTATCAGATGCGATGAAAAATGATCATTATAGGCGACATGGAACGGGCAGAGCATGCACAGTATGTAATACAGAATTGGTTGATACGATCGTCCATTTCGGTGAGGTGGGTCGTGTGCCATGGCCACTGAATTGGAAGGGAGTAACGTCACTCATTGACGAATGTGATCTGATCGTATGTGTGGGCACCAGTCTTGCGGTTCTTAAACAATACCAGTTCCTATGGCCCAAAGCTAAAGGGCAAACACAAGTCGGTGGTTGATTGATTGTTTCCGATGAAGATCCGATATTCATTGTAGTCTCAAATGAATTCTTCTCCATTTGCAGATTGCAATCGTGAATTTACAGTGGACACCTAAGGATCGTTCAGCATGTCTGAAAATAAATGCTCGTTGCGATACCGTCTTCGAAAAATTAGCGAAACTTTTCTCGGTACCAGTCAGTTATTATTGCAGGTAGTCTTAAAAAGATTGCGTTTACTTGCTTGTTTCATTTGTCTACTTACATTTCATAATCTGCGGTCTTGTTTAAATTCAAGCATATTATACAGAGATTGCGATCCGGTGCTGAATCCTCGTCGAAACGCAAGAATTTGTGAGTTGATGGAACGAATCACGGATTGCAGGTGTCACTTACGAGTGCCACGCTCCACTTGCGATGAACAGGGCCCTCGGGGCACACCGGGCTGGTGGGCCGTTGGCATTCAGAGGACTATGAAACGATCCCTTCAAAGTTCGCTTTCTTTTATTCTGTCGATCTTGCATCCGTTTCAATCTTCATTTCCTTTCAGCAAAATTCGAAAAATGAGTCTCGTGTGAAGCAACAAAATAAGATTCGTTAACTAGAATTGCAATTCGTCGATTGTACATGTTATATTTTGTTTTCAGCACCAAGCAACCAAAAGAAACGCTCTGTAGGGCGACCTCGAAAACGCAAGAAATCATGTGCCGTTTCACGTGGTGTTTCTCCAGATGAAGAAGTTGTGGTGGAAAAGAATAACAGTTCGGATACTAAGTTCTCTTCATATAATGAGTCTACTGCTGTAATTTGTGCAATTTCTGAATTGGATATGCGTTCCGTGCATGGAAGTCATCTTAATCAATTTCTGAATGCTTCCGCTGAGGGTGTTGTTGAAAGTGATGGTGGTAACAGACTCGAAGTAAAGGTTCATGACTCAGAGCCATTCAACTCTGGTGACAACTGTGATCTTATTCTTTTTAATCAGCAACATGCGACCAATGATACACTCATTCATTCTTTAAAGGTAGGAGAATCTGATGAAGAACTTATAGTAGGATGTAAAGTTGAATGGAAATCAGTCAAATCGTGTCTCACAGCACTGATCGATGAAGTAAGTGCGTTACAGTGATGAACGGTTCTTATTCATCGATAAGTCTTCATAGAATACTTGTTTCTGGATAGGGCATTCACTGTCATATCTGTGTTTCCCGCTAAACTATTCAACCATCTCAACAGTTGCATCGCTTCAAAATTTCCGCTTACTTACTGCCATTATCAGTAATTTTTTTGTGTCTTCATTAGTGCTTTTATTATTGTTCGTACTGCTATTGTTACGATTGCGTTTAAAAATTTCCATTCATTTATCATTAGTCTACAGTTGACGCAAAACTATTTGAATCGAGCTTTGAAGACGCATTGATAACTCTGTATCGAGTTTGACTATTCATATTGGGGAGATTTGCAGCCGTAATGAATTGAAGTATCGCAAGCATTCCTTAAATAATTGTCATGATTAAGGATATCGTCTAGTGGCTGCAGTTATGAGTCGTCAAACCATGCAGTGACAACTGTAATGTAGTATCATATTTTCGCTTTGTTAGTCCTTTCTCTTTCAGCTAGTCTGTTGAACTGTCTGTAATTAATGATACTTTGTCATTGCTGAACCACGTCGGTATATCATGCCCAATTATGAAGAAATCAAATGAATGAAATCAAATTCAATTGTATTCCTGTCTTATCGATGTTTTGAACAGCTTTTTTAGGCAACTATTCATCTTGTTGTTTGACCGTTGTTTTATTTTGAATTTGCTAATTGCATAATAACATCTGTTATCAATTATTTATGTATACAATTGCTTCTTCGAGTTAAAGTATTATTTCTGTTGTTTTGATATCCGTGCATTTCATGTTCCCTTTTCATTTATTTGTAACACGAATTTTCTTTTCTTTACTCATTCTTCTCAAATAACACTCGCTTTTAGCGACCATCCAAAAGCTTCGTTATGCTGTCGTCGTCATTGAACTTACTAAACTGTTGCTGTTTCTTATGGTTGCTTCTGAGCATTACTGAAATTGTAAATAGAATGATGATGATGATGATGATAAGTGTATAAAATGCACGATAATCAATTCAGTTCTTCCTTATTTTCGATTGATTGTAACGAAAAGTGGCTATTTGTTTGGATGGCCGAATGTTTACAAAATACTCCGTATTGAAATGTGGATCATGTTCATTCATAGCTACTTATTTCTTTCCTTTATGATTCCTGAGCAGCATGATGAACAGTTAATAAAGATTTCTTCGCAGGTTGTCTTATGTTGCCATCATTTTTTGAGCCATCGCCAACCATTGATTATTGTTTGCCACCCAGTCGAGTAACCTGTATTCATAAGAACTTTAATAGTTTTGTTTGTTTCATTCAATGCACTCAGTGCCATTCCCAACTGAATGTGTCAAACGCACTTCGTGTGATTAGTAAATGCGAATGAACAATTGTTGGTCAATGGTCGCCTTATATAGTGTTTCGATATTCGTGGATCACCTGTTATTTGGCGTGGTCAGTGGTGATAATTTTCAATTGCTATAATAGGTAATAAGTGGGCAGATCAGCCATGTGTTAACTGTTATGGAGGTGATAAACAAGGCATGTTAATGATCTCAAAAAATATTTGGAATAACGAAAATGGTATCAATAATAGCAAATTATATACAAGCCAAATCATATCCTGGCTCAGATGCGGTAACATCAGTGGCATAGATACATCATTTGGTTTCTAGTAAACTTTCCTATGCGAACGTTGGCGAGAGAAAGTTTTGTCAGCGCGCCGTTGTCATCAGAATTGTCATTCTTTATACCATCGGTACATAGCATCCAAGAAGGTTAAAAATTTTGGAGGAGGAAGGCGCAATGTTTTGGAAAACAGTTTGGTACCTTCCAATGTTTCGCAGTATTGGAATGAAAATTCGGTAACCGCAGAAGGGTGACGAAAGGGAAGCCGAGGAAGACATCACCAAAGATGCTCCGAAGAGTGTTATTGTAACTGAGGAAGTTTTGTCGAGGAAAGGTTACAAGAGAATATACATCTTCCTCACTAACTATTTTTCTCAGGTCATGAAGAATTTCAAATACTCCAACATATACCATTTGTTGGTTATGAGTTTCTCTTGTTGAGTGAATAACAATTTCAATTATTTTTTTCAGTTTTTGTACTTCAAACGAAATAGAAAATCTCGATATCTTTATTGTTACTTACACTATACTAGAGTTGCGCGGGGAGCCCCGAATTCGGAGTCCTCGTCCCCGACCATTTTCGAGCGGTGGCCATTTTTGGGGACTCTCCTCGTCCCTGAAATGTCCCCGACTCTCCCCGTTCCCGACTTTTTTTCTCTCCCCGCACAACACCCACTCAATAAATCATGTATTATTCTTCTCGATCAGCTGTATCAATTGACTGGATTGATTATCCTTAAAATGGTAAGAAATTCAAATGTTTTTATGCCTATCAAATAGAAATGTCAGTTCCTTTACTTGGCGGATTGTCACTCCCTTCATATTTGTCGAAGTTTCAGTACACTATTTTTTCTTTTGCTACATATTATACAATGACACTGACATGCCACATTCTTCTAGATAAGTACGCAATATGTCTGAAGTTCTCAGAAAAAGTGCAGAAGAAGATAACACCTTCATGTAGCAGTGGATAATGTAAATGGAAACGAGTGCATATTCTGCAGATAATTCTATCGCACCGCCTTGACACATTCGATAGCTGAGAATACAACTTTTGAGAGCAAGAAGCATTACAATTGATGGTTATGTGATGAGTTGCATCACTGAAACGAAATTGAGGGCTTGTCAAGTTCTGTCTTGTACATGTGAGAAAATGCATCTTTACGAAATTAGTCAAATCATACACCGTCAATATCACTGACATCAGATTGCCTTGAAAAGTTTTGACTGAATAT